CTAATCTCTACCTGTCTTTCAAGGGTCATTCTTTTAAACTAGTGAATGAAGATGACAGCACATCGAACGGCAACAGGCCCGTGGCATCCACTCCAGTGCCAGGATCACCATGGTAAGCGCATGCAATCAGAGCTGCGAGAAGCCATTCATCGGTGCCGTTCCCCTTGCCAGACACGCATTAGGGGTCTGGCACGGGGGGAAAATGCGCTACTCTGGGTGTTAAGTAGCAATACTGGGTTCCTGTCCCAGCTCCCGCTGGAGCTTTTGCTCGTTAATCATCGTGTACTTAAGGGAAACGTGGGGCAGCAGCCCCAAGCACAGCGTGAGCCAGCTCCCTGGGGTCTGCGAGGGGAGGGCAGCGTGCTGCGGAGCTCCGGCGCAGCCAGGGACCGGGCCTGGGGGTTTCTGTGTCTGGTTTTGTGGCCGCTGGCCCGCGGTGAGAAGGGCTGCGTTCGGCCGTGCTCCTCGGGCTCTGTCTTACGTGTGTGGAGGATCCAGCCTGGATGGTGCTTGGGTGGATTGAAGGGGAAATAGAAGATCCATGAGAAATGTTCTTGCTTTTTAGGGCCAGATCCTCTTTCTCTCCCATTCAGGTGACTACGTGTTGGGTAACTAAATCTCTCATGTCATTTTTAAATAGGTAAAAACTTTGTTCACTTTCTGTGCTGAATGGCTGACTAGAAGGATTTTTTTACCTCCTTTGCACATACAATAATTAGTTTATACTTAGTGGCTGACATCTAAGGGACCTTTGGCTAAGGCTTTCCGCGTAGATTTGTTATTACCCTATTGTGCCACTTTGCAAGTAAGCGTTGTAAGCACAGCCCGATGTGCTGCTTAATCTCAGCGTCATAGATACGTGATTTACACCAATCATTCATCTTCCTGACGTTTGCTACTCGGCGGTGTAGCACAGAGGAAGCGTTGGAGCCCAGCAGTGTCACAGGCAGGCTGTGGCATCATCCGTTCTTACAGACAAGAGCCATAGCCAGTGGTACCCCCAGGGGGACCGTGCAGCACCCCCTCTTCTCCAGCAGCGTCTGCTGAGCGGTGACTGGGCAGCCGGTACCTCCACTGGAGTGCACCGCTCTCAGATCCAGACTCTGGTATTTTGCCCTCTAAGGAGAAACCTTACATTTGTGGGTTTCCAGAGGACTGTTTAGTGACCCAGTGAGAATTCCTGGTGTGAGAAAAGGCATCCAGATCTGGTCCTTGGCGCCCGAGGGAGGGGACCTAGTCCTCATGCTGACAGTTGTCCCGTGTTCTGTGGTGACGATGTCTCATCTGCCCCAGGGCTCGTGGTGGAACATGGAGCGTGCCCGTGGGGTGTTTCAGTCACAGCGTACAATGTTTTCTGAGGGGTGGAAACAAGATATGCAGCACAAATTGAAAAAACCCTGAATTTACTTCAAGCACTCCCCGCCTGTAGGTTGGTTTCCTGTTTCTGCAGGACCCCTGGTTGATGTGACATCGCCAAGCGCCTGTCAGAAGGAGCTAAACTGTAATTTTTAATAGCAGAAAATTTTTCAGGAATGTTACCTACCCTATGAAATAAAAAAAAAAGTAATATCATCATCTTGTGCCCTTACTCATTCTTAAATTAGAATTTTCTAAAGGGAAATGCGAACGTAACAACGTCTGCGTTTCCAGTGTGTGTTCTGTGACTGAAACAAAATACCCTGCGTCCCCTGTGGATAATTGAAACCATTATTATACCACAGAGGAACGGGTGACACGTTGCATGGGGAAAGGGACGTTAATTTTAAATTGAATGTCAAATCGTATTAGAAATGGAAAAGCGAAGAGGTGTCGCAAGGGACCCCAGAGTTTCTAGCCGGGGGCGGTGGCACGCGAGACCCGGCGGTACTCGGTGGTTAACCGCGAGTTGACCGAGCGCCACCCCCGGCCGGAGGAGCGGCGAGACAAAACACACGATCCCAACGCGCTGCGCGTAACCCCGGCCGGGCAGCGGCTTCGGCAGCCCCACGCGCCTCTGGTGGCGCCGCAGATCCCAACACGGCGCAGGTTTTGGGTTCAGGGCGTTCCGAAGCGGTTCAAGTCCTGCAGCGCCCGTGCTTGCCGGGGGAAGAAGCTACAGCAAGGGGCATTTCGGAGCAGGCGATTACCCCTGGGCAGGATTGGGCCTCTGTCCTGACCGTAACTCTGGCGTTTCTGAAAGTAAGCCACTTAAATTAATCAGCCCCGGCCGCCCTCTTCACTTCAATGCCGAGATTTTTTCGCTTCCTTCTGGGATGACTGTGGTACTTACGGGAGCATGGAGCCTTGCTTTGGAAGTGTTCCTGGAGCACTTGTGTGCCGCAGAAGCGGCTCGGGGCTGGCGGGTCAGTGTTTGTGGGGAACAGAGGTTCCCATAGCTGCACGGTGCGAAGCAAGGAGCAGTCATTAGACCTCATCATCGCCTAGCAGAGGATTAGGGCGTCTGTCTTGTGAGGCCCTTTTGTCATCCCAGACGTGAGCGTGTTAAAATGAAGTTATTAACGTATTCGTCATGCCCGTGTCACTGAATTCAGGATGGGAAAGCTTCCGTGGGGCGTAAGTCAGCGGCTGGGTTGGCACAACCAATTTTGCGCTCCCGTTCGTCGGGAGGACGTTGAGCTCCACCGGCCGTGATGACTGTGGTGGTCGGGCTCAGGAGCACGCTGACGCCGAGCTGCTCCCAGCCCCCTGCGGCTCTGCAGCTCCTCCACGGCTTCTTGCAGAGCTTATGTATTTTTCATTACGTGGTTGGGCAAGATCAATGGTGGTGTCTTACTGGCGGTGCACAGAGTATGTTGGATTATCGTATTACGGCGCTCTGCAGCGATGGAGCATTTTTCATATTTGCAGTCTTTCGCCCAGACCAGGCTTTTTTTTAAAACCAGTTTTGTTCCCTGCTTTTAATAACCGTTAAGCAGCAGAGCTTCTGATGATAAGATTTGTTCCTTCCAGGTATTTGTGCTTCAGAGAGACCAACGCTTTCTCTTTATAAGTGTGCGTGTGAGGAAGTCAGAGTGTGTGCACGATGTTCGTTAGTTTTCGTTGCGATTCAGAAAGTGCAGGCTTGAGATGGATATGCTGTTTGTTTATTACACACAGATTTAGCGAAGTAAAAACGTGAGGTTTTTTGAATGTCTGTTGAGGATGGTGCTGGCCTTATCTGCGTATTATTTTAGCTGATTGAAAATGAACGTCAGGCTGAAAGGTTGAGCTGCTGTCACGCGTGCACGAACTGACCGAGTCAGGCAGCTGTGGTTTGCGCAGCAGCGACTTGGTCGCGTTTCTCCAATTCGAACCAGAGCCCCTAAAGTCCAACCTGAACCTTGGCAGCAGACTTCTGCGGTGGCTGCTGCTTTCCTGTGGCTCCTCTTGCTGTGGGCGCCGCGGCGTTCCTCCTCGCCTGGTTCCTCTTCCCTTCCCTAGTACAATATTTCACCTACTGCTTTTCGGGGGTGTTTAGACCGTTTCTGTGACATTTTATTAGTAGGGAGGGAGTTTCTCTATCCGAGGTGACGGGGGTGGGCTGGCAGGGGCTGGGGCAGGCTGGCCAGTCGGAGACAGAGGCGAGGCTCACCCACGTACTGCAGAGACGCGATAAGCCAGCTGCGGGTTGCTTTCTTGTTCGTGGGGGTATCTGACGTTATCTAAGCATAGTTTATCACTTGGAATAGGTGTGTAGTCTGGACTGGAGATGACCGGGTCTTCTTCTTCAACCCTACAATGCAGCTGTCAGTCTGGGAGAAGCCAGTGGACCTGAAGCACCGCGGCGACATCAACCGGATCATCGAGGATCCTCCTCACAAGCGCAAGCTAGAAGCTGCAGCAAGTAACTAAAGCCCTGTGATTATTTGCCTCTATTTAAACTCAAATATGGAATGAAACTTGGTCGCTAAATAAGTTCAGGGAAGGTTTGTAATTAGGGTGGTTTTCCTTTTGAGATTTCATATAAAGCGCTGCATTAAAATTGCTGTTTATTGCAAAATCCTGATTTTCACTGAAATGCTGAGCTGGGGGATAGAGCGTTCTCATTATTGGCAAGGAAGAAACAGGTGGCTTCTTACACTGGGTGAATCTTTGATGTATAAAATACATCTTGGAAGACGCTGTCTTTATGGTTTATTACCCTTATTTCCAGGATGAACATTAGGAGTGCATTACCAATGCATTATTCAGCTGTTACACAAAACAGATTCTCCATAGCTCATGATTATCCAACCAAGTTGTAAAGGGGCGAGGGGGGAAACCCCAGTAGTAAACCTCTTGAGGAGTGCTAAAAGGTTTGGTGGAAACGTGGGTGCTTCCATCTAAACGTGACTCTGCCAGTCGCCTTCTAACCGCTGCGGATGCCTGAAGGGGAGAGCCGTGGCTGAAGAAAAAGCCGCTGCTCGGCAGTGAGGCCTGTTGAGCGGGTCAGAATGCCGTTTGAAAGACACCCCTTGGCTCGTCGGTGATCCGAGGGCTCTGCTGTCTGGTCCTCCCCGGGACGGCCAGCTCGCGGTTTTCCCAGCCTGCCTTGCCCATCCCCTGCTCCTCCACGCCACCTTTTCCATCTGCCACCCAGAGCTTGTTGTCCCATCCAGGTTTTGTCCGTGCTGGTGACCAGTCCAGGAGCAGCCCAGCATGCCAGCCTGTGCTTGCCCGTGCGGTAGTGGCTCCGTAGTTTGTTCCACCACATTTCTTTCCAAAGATTTTGCTCCACCTTTTTTGTGGACTCCCTGTTCCCGGGAGCTGCTCCGTGCTGTGCCAGTGCTCCTTTTATTTCCTGACGCCGTACGTTGGCTTTCACGTGGCGGCGGTGTCGGTAGGACCTGTTATTAAGGAGGCATGGCAGTCATCGAAACGCTTCTTGTCTTGATCAGCTGCTTGTGATGGTTGAACATTCCACTTCACAGCGGTTTCAGTGGAGAACCTCCTTTTTCAGTGGAGAACCTCCTTCAGCTGGTGCTTGTTCTGTGGTGGCGAGGTCTAGAAAAATGGAGGGGAAAAAAAATGAGGCTTTTGTCACTCTTCTAAAGCGTAGCTCCCAATTAAGTACTTCAAAAGAGGGGCTGTGAGTGTGCGTTGTGGACTTGGAACAATACGTCTGCAGGTAGATAAAAGTGAGTGATAATCAGGATTTATGTTATCAGTGTTAGCAAAGTTCACTGAAAAAAAAGCCACAAAGAATGGTTTTCTATTAGTGTAGTGCTTATCTAGTGCCATTACATTTTTCGTTATAAATTTCAGTTGTCAGATGCTTGTATATATGTCATTTTTGTATATGGCTTGAATAACTTTAGCTGTATATCTAATAATTCCAAATCGTATCTGCTGAAGTTCATTCTTCTGGAGAAAAATACGGCATACGTTTTTTATTACAGGCTATATTGAAAGATCAATTAATTACTGACAAGGGGAAATGAACAATGGCCAAAGACAAAACTGGGGGTCGTTGTTCATGGTTTATAATTAATTAACGAGAAGAGCCTAAAGTCATTGTTGGTATGTGCCACTTCAAAAATCTGTTTTTTGCTGTGTGTTCCATCCTTTTTATTTATTATCTATATGTACCACCAAGATTTGATTCATGCACCAGTTTCTTTATGACCATGGCTTTCACTGTTGCTAATAGTCTTAATTTTCCTTGATATAATTGGGACTCGCAGTTGCTCAGTATTTGAGACAGTCAGGTTATAATTAGTATAAATTAGCTGCTGAGGTGAAAGGAATTATTTGTAGCATTTCTCTTAGCTTGTAATCTCAAGTAAATAAATAACACAAATGAGCTGTGTGTTTGCAACAATGGTTGCCAAATTTATTTAGCTTAGTTGCTGCTGCTGAGTTTTAATTAGAATTTTTAAATCAAAGGCACGAAAAAAGTTGGCGAGCATTGTTATTCATGGGGTGCCATAGGTTATCAGCGCGTCGCTCCGCTGAAAGATCAAGTGCATTTATAATTTAGGCATAAATGAGAAATTACTCATTTATCAATTACTCCGCCTCCACCAAGTAGAGTTCTTAAGGAGATTGATGAAGGTGTCGTGGCTCCCATCAGGCCATCCCGTGGAGTCGGGGGGATGCGCAGGTCCCCCCCCGTGCCGCACTCGGCCAGCGCCACCCCAGCCCCTCCAACGGGGACGGCGCCTGGGTGGAGGGACCCACCGCCTGCCCACCAGCTGCGGGGCCAGGGCAGAGACTTTCATCCCTTGCTCTGCCACGTGCCCCAGTCAGAGCTGTCGGACAGCAGAGTGCAGCGTCTTCTGGCGACAGCTCCTTCCTTGTCCCCGGTTGTCCTTACTCCCCTGTCTCAGTACGGTCAGACTGACCGTACGCCCCTGTTTCCCCTCAAAAGATTCCTTGAGATGTTTCTGTCTTACTGCAACAGAGAAAAACATTTTTAACTATTCCTGTTCCTCCTCCTGCTCAAGTGGCTTGTCTGGATGTTTAGGCTGAGGAAGTTGTTTTTCAGCTAATTAAAAGAAAACTGACATTCTGACTACAGACAACGGCATGTTGATTCATTCATGCTTGGTATGATCCCTATCCACAGTCAGTTACGACAGTTTGCTCTGTCCCCACAAATATTCTGGATCCTTTAGCATTCAGGCAAAACCAGAAGCACGGTCCCTGTTGACGGCGTAGGTGAGCTCCTTGGCTGATGTGCGACACACGAGTGCCAGGTCCCTTTGCAAAATTGCAGAGCCGATTTTGGTGTGTGGTCAGTGGATTGACAACACATTAACTCACCTGGTAAATGCTGGCCTTTCCTCTTTGTTCTGGATAATGAACCAGGATCCACGACGTGGCTGGGATTAGTGGAATGATTTAATTAATCAGCACTAAACTTGATAGACCATCAGGCTGGGGCAGTGCTCCGCTTCATGATTTCATGGAAAGATTACTGTCAAGTAATATTTTTCCTCAAAGCTTTAAATCAATTATTAGATTTTGTGCTCGGCTGCCCTTTTCCCTTTCAAAGTCAGTTTATAATCTTAGCAGAGGTCCGGCGGTGCGGTGTGACTCGGTAGGTTCCTGACTGAGAGCGTAGATACCGTTTGTCATGTTTTACTGAGTTCTCCACAGCACTGAACTTTTAAGTGATCATGGTGACTCTAATCATGTCCCATTTATCCAAGACCATGTACCCACAGCAGTCACTCCCACAGGCAAAGCCAGAAGGATTTGGTGTCCCTCCCTGGCGAGGCTGTCACGGCTCTCTGGGAGAGCCCGAGGTGTGTCAGGAACCGGCCGATGGAAGTAAACTCTGAAATCAGGGTGTATTGTGTCAGAGTTCTTTTATCAGAAGGCTCTATGGTAGCTAAGTTTGGGCTTTATAAATGCCCAGTTCACATATTTTTCACAGCAGAATTTAAGAAGTGTGTATATCCTTTTCAGAAATCTGTGAAAGGTCTGATCTTTTCCTAAGACGACTTCCAATCTGAGCTGACCGTTGAGTAGCAGGAGAACTTCACGTCATCGTTTGTCATCACCAGGGAGTTTGCTCTTGTCCCGTGGAAACGTGGCACGGCAAAGGCTCCCTGCGTGGGCCAGGCTTCGCGCCACCCGCTTTACTATTTTTTTTTTGTGGTGTCTGAGCGGAGCCCCACGGCTCTGGAAGGGCTCTCTGTGGCGCGCGGCAGACGCCAGAGGTGCCCCATGGGCATGGCTCTTCCTTTGCTTCAGTAGTGGTGACGTTTGGTAGGAACAGGATTGTGCTTGCCCAGTCAGGACTGAACCTAACGTCACCTTTAACTTCAGCTCTCTTGGGAAGCACCATCCAATACCCTGTCGTTGCATATGACGACCTTCAGACGTCATTAAAATTAAGACCGCTGCTGCCTTCGCAGGTGGTTCAGGTCCTGATGGATATAGCTTTGTCACGTCTCTGTTGACTGACGTTCCACCATCTGAGTTTACAGGTCGTTTTTCCCATTTCTTTGTATTTTTAATTGGGTATCCCAAAGAAGAATTTACCAAGACGAGGTAATAGTTCCAGGGAATTTATGTTTATTTAAAACATTATTAAATTCATTTATCTGTCCATAATGCTCGTATGTTGTCCAGAACGTTGAGTTCAAACGCTCCTTATTTTGGAATGCCGTTCATTTCTCCTCATTACTGTTTTCAGTTCTAGTGAGTAATGCATCCATTGGCACCTGCTGCGCGTTTCCTCCTCCTGTCTCCGTTCCTGGTCTTCTCACACTGCAACGTTACAGCTGCTGTTTGTTTTTTATTGTTCCTTTTGCAGTGATTTAGTGTGTGCTGCGTTCAAGCACTTAATATAAATAAAAGGGAACGTCTGCTGAAAGCATACTAATAAACATGTAATTTCCTTAAAACAGGGAAACAAAGTGAACTAAGAACAAGATTCTTAAATTGAAGCTCGAAATAAATGGCCAAATTTCTGTTAGCTTCAGTGATACAAAGATTGGACCCATTTTCTAGCAGATGTCGTGGGAGATTCACGTGTTTTCAGTGAGATCAGATCTCACCATATCAAGTTATTCAGAGCTTTTATCTCCATAAACTCAGCTCAGTTTTTTATTTATTTTTAATTTGTTTTTTCGTCGTTTTCTAAATAGCAAGGCATGTCTTCATTACCAGTCTCATAGAAAAAGGCTGAGATTTGGAGTTTCTGACATTCCCAATCTAACCACATACAGTTTGATTTTTACGTTTCTCAACTAACTCATGGTGAACCAGTGCAGAGTGCCCAGCACAAAGCACGCGCCGGGTGGGCGTGACTTCTGCTGGTCTGTCCGCCTGAATGTTGATGAAAACTGCAGTTTCTAGACATGAAAAGAAATTTAGATTCCAGAAATAAATATCCGTTCCATATGCTTTGTGTGTGTTATGACTGACGACGCAACCTGGGAGTCCCTCCAGGGTGAGTGTCCGGGCCAAACCAGGAGTGTGACGGTGCCGTGGAGTTACTCTGCAGCGTCAGGAGTGTGGAGGGTGTTGGTATCTCCATAGGTTTGCTCACCTGCTGGTTGCAATTCCGGGAAAGCAGCATTGTATTTGCTTGCGTAAGAAACAGAAATGGGCTGAGGAGGGCAGTTCTGGTGCAAGCTAACACTCTTGAATCCTTCAGGCTGCCAGGGCTGAAATAATTTTGCAGAAATGTCTTTGTGGTCGTATTTTTAAGGGAAGGGAGGAGGGAATATCAGGTGAAACAACAACAAGATTTAAATAAAATCATGTCACAGATGAACAATGAGCGATTTTGTTCATAACATGAACAGCGAGCGCTTTTTGCAGAATGAAAAGGGTCGGTGTATTGCTCTCTCTCTCATTTGGATGAAGGTGTTTCTGAGGATCTGATGAAATATGTATTATTTGTAAGTCCCTCTGTGGAGAGTGAAAAAAATAGTAAATACCTCAGCAGCAGCCAAAGACAAGAAATGAAAGGTTAATCTGAGGAATTTGTATTCCTATTTATCTAGTTCAAATCTAATAACTATTTATTTCTTTTTAGCAGACAAATGTGTTAGTTCTTGTCCAGGGGATGAAAATGATGATCTTAGCATCAAAACTAAGAGAAATAAGTAAGTTCTAAAGTTTACTTATCTATATGTAATGTTGGGAAGCTAACGTCTGGTACAAATGAGTGCAAAGAGAAATACAATTCTTCTGTGTGGATAACTACACCAATAAATTATGAGAGTCATTCTTAAGGTACCGAGTCTTCATCAAACTCAGTGATTCTCTATAATCTCTGTTTCCCATGAACATCATCCATTTTTGTCTGAGTAATTCTTACTCACTCTGAAATGGTTAAAAAAAGACTCTGAGGATATGTAGTTATTTCAAAGACATTGGATAAAAGCTTTATCTTCATTGAAGTGAAGCAGATTTTTTTTTCACTGGTGTCAGAGTTTCCAGGCTACTGGCTCAGAAATATCTGGAAGTATTTCTGTCATTGGGCTTTTATTTGACCTTTATTATCATGCATTTCAAATTCTCAGGAAGTAACAGGCAAAAACCCCCTTGTGCTAAATAAGCAACACTCTCACCCTTTGCCAAAACGGCAAGAAAATGAAGTAAAGAGGTCTGGTGTGGGGAGTACCTTAAAGACATCTCATGCTGTTTAACCTTTGGCCAGTAACTGCCTGTGGGGTCAGTTGTTCACATGGACTGGCTATGATGAAGACGCTGTTTTGGACCATTGAAAAATAAATTGGTAAAATAAATCTGCGTAGGTAACGTGTTATATTTGGGGGGACATTTTGACTAGTAAACACAACAAATTTCTGTATTTTTCAAGTGAATATATTGAAGATAATTATACGCTGTCTTATATTGTCGTTCTTCTCCTACTACATTGGGTGGTTCTTTTGACCTCGTTAAGGGTTTCTGTGGATTTGTATTATTATGAAGGAAGAATCAGGTACTCTGAGTTGAATACTCAGACTATTGCGCATTTAATGTTTGGTATAAAAGGGTATATTTATACATACTAAATATGTACTTTTACTGTTTACATAATATTTAGAAACTTAGCACAGAAGTTTATATTTAGTATAAAAGTATTTAAGAATGCCTTTATTGGCGTCGGTGGGTTGAGCAAAATGGGCCTGTGTGTAGAAGCGGGTATTTTCCGTGTGCCAGTAAGGTGATTCCCTTTCGAGGTGGGTTGAGAAGATGTGAAAACGTCTTTCCGGTAATGTACATAAACGGAATTCTAAAACTCTAGAAGCTCGTTCATAAGCTCAAGAAAAATGCACGTATTGAAAGATTACTGGGTCAGAGTGGCTTGGGCTTACTGGGCTG